ATATATATTTAGGATAGTTAGCTCTTCTTGTTGCATTGATCCCTTTACCATTATATAATGTCCTTCTTTGTCTCTTTTGATCTTTGTTGGTTTAAAGTCTGTTTTATCAGAGACTAGGATTGCAACCCTTGCTCTTTTTTTTTTTGCTTTCCATTTTCTTGGTGAATATTCTTCCATCCCTTTATTTTGAGCCTATGTGTGATGGGTCTCCTGAATACAGCACACTGATGGGTCTTGACTCTTTATCCAATTTGCCAGTCTGTGTCTTTTAATTGGGGCATTTAGCCCATTTACATGTAGGGTTAATACTGTTATATGTGAATTTGATCCTGTCATTATGATGCTAGCTGGTTATTTTCCCTGTTAGTTGATGCAGTTTCTTCATAGCATCAATGGTCTTTACAATTTGGTATGTTTTTGCAGTAGCTGGTATTGACTGTTCCTTTCCATGTTTAGTGCTTCCTTCAGGAGCTCTTGTAAGGCAAGTCTGGTGGTGACAAAATCTCTAAGCAATTGCTTCTTCATAAAGGATCTTATTTCTCCTTCACTTATGAACTTTAGTTTGGCTGGATATTAAATTCTGGGTTGAAAATTCTTTTCTTTAAGAATGTTGAATATTGGCCCCTACCCTCTTCTGGCTTGTAGGGTTTCTGCTTAGAGAACCACTGTTAGTCTGATGGACTTCCCTTTGTGGATAACCTGACCTTTCTCTCTGGTTGCCCTTAACATTTTCCCTTCATTTCAATCTTGGCGAATCTGATGATTATGTGTCTTGGTGTTGCTCTTCTTGAGGAGTATTTTTGTGGTGTTCTCTGTATTTCCTGAATTTGAGTGTTGGCCTGCCTTGCTAGGTTGGGGAAGTTCTCCTGGATAATATCCTGAAGAATATTTTCCAACTTCATTCCATTCCCCCCATCACTTCGAGGTACACCAATAAAATGTGGATTTGTTCTTTTCACATAGTTCCATATTTCTTGGAGGCTTTGTTCATTTCTTTTTACTCTTTTTTCTCTAATCTTGTCTTCTTGCTTTATTTCATTGAGTTGATCTTCAACCTCTGAAATCCTTTCTTCTGTTTGATTGATTTGGCTATTGATACTTGTGTATGCTTCATGAAGTTCTTGTGCTGTGTTTTTCAGCTCCATCATGTCATTTATGTTCTTCTCCAAACTCGTTATTCTAGTTAGCAGTTCGTCTAATCTTTTTTCAAGGTTCCTGGCTTCCTTGCATTGAACATGCTCCCTTAGCTCAGAGGAGTTTGTTATTACCCACTTTCTGAAGCCTACTTCTGTCAATTTGTCAAACTCATTCTCTATCCAGTTTTGTTCCCTTGATGGCAAGGAGTTGTGATCCTTTGGAGAAGAAGAAGCTTTCTGTTTTCGGAATTTCAGGCTTTTTGTGCTGATTTCTTCCCATCTTTGTAGATTTGTCTACCTTTGGTCTTTGATGTTGGTGACCTTCGGATGGGGTCTCTGAGTGGACATGCTTTCTGTTGATGTTGATACTGTTCCTTTCTGTTTGTTAGTTTTCCTTCTAACAGTCAGGACCTTCTGCTGCAGGTCTGCTGGAGTTTGCTGGAGCTCCATTCCAGACCCTGTTCGCCTGGTTATCACCAGCAGAGGCTGCAGAACAGCAAAGATTGCTGCCTGTTCCATTCTCTGGAGCTTCATCCCAGAGGGGCACCTGCCAGATGCCAGCCCAAACTCTCCTGTATGAGGTGTCTGTTGGCCCCTACTGGGAGGTATCTTCCAGTCAGGATACACAGGGGTCAGTGGCCCACTTGAAGAGGCAGTCTGTCCCTTATCAGAGCTCGAATGCTGTGCTGGGAGATCGCTGCTCTCTTCAGAGCTGTCGGGCAGGGACGTTTAAATCTGCTGAAGCTGCACCCACAGCTGGCCCTTCCCCAAGGTGGTCTGTCCCAGGGAGATGGGGTTTTATCTATAAGTCCCTGACTGGGGCTGCTGCTTTTTTTTCAGAGATGCCCTGCCCAGAGAGGAGGAATCTAGAGAGGCAGTCTGGCCACAGTGGCCTTGCTGAGCTGAGGTGGGCTTCACCCAGTACGAACTTCCCAGTGGCTTTGTTTACAGTATGGGGGTAAAACAGCCTACTCAAGCCTAAGCAATGGTGGATGCCCATCCCCCCACCAAACTTAAGCATCCCAGGTTGACTTTAGATTGCTGTGTTGGCCACAAAAATTTCAAGCCAGTGGATCTTAGCTTGCTGGGCTTCATGGGAGTGGGATCTGCCAAGCCAGATCACTTGGCTTCTTGGTGTCAGCGCCCTTTCCAGGAGTGTGAATGGTTCTGTCTCACTGGCATTCCAGGTACCACTGGGGTATGGAAAAAAAAAAAAAAAACTCCCGCAGCTAGCTCACTGTCTGCCCAAATGGCCACCCAGTCTTGTTCTTGAATCACAGGGCTCTGGTGGCATAGGCACCAGAGGGAATCTCCTGGTCTGCAGGTTGTGAAGACTGTGGGAAAATTGCAGTATCTGGGCTGGAGTGCACCATTCCTCCCGGTACAATCTCTCACAGTTTCCCTTGGCTAGGAGAGGAAATCCCCTGACCCCTTGTGCTTCCCAAGTGAGGCAATGCCTCACCCTGCTTCAGCTCACCCTCCATGGGCTGTATCCACTTTCCAACCAGTCCCAGTGAGATGAACCAGGTACCTCAGTTGGAAATGCAGAAATCACCCGCCTTCTGCATCGGTCTCACTGGGAGCTGCAGACCAGAGCTGTTTCTTCTATTCAGCCATCTTGACAGCAAATCCGTAGTTGCATGTTTTGAAGAAATGGTCTATTTCAAATAACTGTTGAATTCATGTGTTGTATTAGAGTTCTTTAGAAAAGCAGAACCAACATGAGTGTGTGTGTGTGTGTGTGTGTGTGTGTGTGTGTGTGTGTGTGTAAAGAGAGAGAGAGAAATGTATAAAGAAAAGATTTATTAGAGGAATTGGCTCATGTGATTATGGAGGCCAAGAAGTCCCATAATATGCTGTATGCAAGCTGCATACCCAGGAAAGCCAGTAATTCAGTCTGAGGCCAAAGGCCTGAGAACCAAGGTGACCACTGGTGTTAAGTCCCAGAGTCCAAAAGTCTGAGAATCAGGATTGCTAATGTCTAAGGGCAGAAGAAAATAGGTGGCACATTTTCTCTCATGAAGAGAAAGAAAATTGCCCTTTTTTCATGCTTTTGTTCTATTTGGTCCCTTAGTGGATTAGATGATGGCCACACACATTGATGAGGCTCTTTAGTCAGTCTGCTGATTCAAATTCTAATCTCATCTGGAAACACCCTCTCAGACATACCCAGATATAATGTCTTACCAACTATCTGGGTATCCCTCAACCCAGTCAAGTTGACACATAAAATTAACCATCATATTTGTGTAGAGTTGGTCATAGAATTCCTTTATTATCCTTTTTATGTCTGCATGATGGGTAGTGATGTTCTGTTTCATTCCTAACGTTGGTAATATGTGTCTTCTCTCTTATTTTCCATCCACTGCTTTTTTGTCTGGGTATTCTAATCACTTGTCTGCCAGTGCCCTAATCTACATTTTATTTGTGTTCAACCTACTGTATAGTTAAGTATTAACTTCTTTTTTTTTGAGACGGTGTCTCACTCTGTCACCAGGCTGGAGTGCAGTGGCATGATCTCGACTCACTGTAACCTCTGAGTTCAAGTGATTCTCCTGCATTAGCCTCCTGAGTAGCCGGGACTACAGGCACATACCACTCTGCCCAGTTAATTTTTGTATTTTTAGTAGAGATGGGGTTTCACCATGTTGGCCAGAATGGCCTTGATCTCTTGACCTCATGATCACTGCCTTGGCCTCCCAAAGTGCTGGGATTATAGGTGTGAGCCACTGTATTAACTTCTTAATTGTAATTAATGCGTTTTTCAATTCAATATCAACATTTGATTATTTCTGTGGACTCTAGTTCTCTGGTAAATTCTCTATGTTTACTAACTGGCCCATCAGTGAATCCGTTTCTATTGTCTGTACCTTCTCTTGGTTCTGTTTCTTAGTATAATGGATACTGCACTTTTTCTTGGTTCTGTTTCTTAGTATAATTGATAATTTCTTAATTCAATGCCTGATATCGAGTATGAAAATTATCAAGATTATCTTCTCCAGAGGAGATTCGGTTTTACTTCTGGCAGGCAGTAAGATTAAGGAAAGATCTAAATCCAGTCATGGATTGAAGTAATTTGAGGCTGGGTTGAAATTTTTATAAGAATGTGTGTGTTATTACGCTGGGCATGGTGGCAAGGGTTTGTAGCCCCAAATACCTGGGAGACTTAGGAGGGAGAGTCACACAACCCCAGGAGTTTGAGGCGGTAGTGCACTATTATCATGACTGTGAATATTTCCCACTGTACTCCAGCCTGGGAAACACAGTGAGACTGATCTCTTAAAGAAAGAATTGGTCCATTTCTTACTCTTTCTGTGAGGGTATCACCCTTCTTGAGCCCACAGGGAGCCTGAGGATTTACTGAGATACCTCTACCATTTACAAATCCATAAAGGCCTCAAAGAAAAAAAAATGTAGAATGTTGGACTCTTCTTAGAGCATTCCCATTCTTCTCAAATGTTGATACAGTACTTTTCCTAGCTCTCTAACATCCTTAATGAAGTGATATTTTTTAATGTTTTTAATGTTTTTAGTTAGCTTCTATGCTTTCCAGAGGAAGGCTTTGTCTGCTGTAAGATTAGCAAAGCTATAAGTGAAAACACTCATAAATCAGTTTAAGATAGGTAAGTAAGCTGAGAGGGTCTATGTTTGCTCAGAGAAGTAGTAGTTTACTTTATAGGCTATAAAGTGAGACAGGAATGTAATGATGGAGTAAAGTGCTGGAGGCAACAGCAAATGTTTGAAGTAGTCATTATGGGATAATTGAAGGGGACGAGTAGCAAAATTATTTGTTCCTCTTCCCTGGCATATATTATAGGTGATCTGTATTGTGGACACACTGACCAATACTGTTTTCTCATCTAGGTGACCTACTGAGGTACTTGAGGGAAACAAAAGATTGTATTCGTTTATGTATCGTTGCACTTTCTATTGAGTCAAAGCCAAACATAGTAGTACTTACTGCTCTGTTCAACAATGAAGCATATCATTCACCATCTGCGGCTCTTGCAGTGTTAGACAACATTCTTTTCAAGTCACTTTCTGGGGCCGATGCTTCCTTAACAGTCTCCAATAAACCTCAGCCACCCCCTGATGGTAAAGACAATGAAAAGTATGTTATTCTTTTCATTAGAATTCAGTTTTATTCTTTAAATACATTCTTTCCACCGTATCTGATTACATTTATATGATTAAAAATAGCTATTGATTGAAATCTGTATTTTCTGCTATGTTGATTTTCTGATATGTCTTCTTTCGTAGGCCTATAAATGGACAACAATTGGCCTTAGCTTTACAATTTGGCATGGCTCTTCTGATCAGTGGCTATTGTCTCCTGACAGTGACTGAGAGAACCACTAAGACAAAGCACATTCAGTTTGTGAGTGGCGTCTCTGTCATTGTGTACTGGCTTTCTGCCCTATTGTGGGATTTCATCGTCTTCTTTGCTTCCTGTTTCTTAATAATGGTGAGTGTGAAGTAAAGTTTCTTGAGGGCTCATGGAAAATTCCTATTCTAATGGTTATGAAACTTAGCTCTTGTTAATAAACCATCCTTGCTTATTAACTTGGGAAACACATTGCAAAACTCTCATGGTAGAAACTTTACCATATTATTAATTTAAAAAGTAACTTCTTTACATAAAAATAGAGATATAGACTAATGGAAAAAAAAGAGTACCAAAATAACCTCATGCGTTTACCATCAGTTAATTTTTTACAAAAGGTGACAAGAACACAAAATGGGGAAAGAACAGTCTCTTGAATACATTGTGTTGAAAATTCTGAATATCCACATGCAAAAGAATCCATTTAGACCATTATTTTATGCCATATGCAGATATCAACTTAAAATATAATAAAGACTTATATGTAAGTCCTGAAGCTATAAAGCTACTAGAAGAAAACATATGGGAAACATTACTTTTTTATGACCCCAAAAGCACAGGCAACAAAAGCAAAAATAGACAGTTGGGATTACATCAAACTAAAAACCTTCTGCACAGCAAAGGAAACAATCAGTAGAGTCAAGAGAAAAATCTACAGAATGGGAGGAAATATTTATAAATCATACATCTTAAAAGGGGTTAATATCCAAAATATATAAGGAACTCTTTCAACTCAATAGCAAAAAATAATAACCTAATTCAAAAGTGGGCTAAGGAATTGAATAGATTTTCTCAGAAGACATAAATTTTCAACAGGTATATGAACATTTGCTCAATTTTCCTAGTTAACAGGGAAATGCAAATCAAAACCATGAGATAATCACCTCACACCTATTAGGATGACTTTTTCTTAAAAAGATTTTTAAAAAGATAACTATTATTGGTAAAGTTTGTACAAATTGGAACCCTTGCCAACTGTTGGTGGAAATGCAAAATGGTGCCCCTACTATAAAAAACAATGTGGAGGTTCCTCAAAATATTAAAAATAGAACTACTATATTATCAAACAACCCCATTTCTGGGTATTTATCAAAAAGAGTTCAAATCAGGATTTCAAAGATCTACCATCACTTCTATGTTCACTGAACGCTACTCACAATAACTAAATGCTAAAA